GGGGAAACAAACTGACTTATATTGACATTTTCAGGGTTAAAAATTTTTGGATGCCCTTCCCACTTTCTTTCTGACTCTCTAACTTTCTAGACTGTTACAGCAGCTCTCTCCAAGGCCAGCACATGAATTAAATGCCATGCTCTGCTTTTATTCTCTCCACTAATTCTAAAAGATTGGAAGTTAAAATTCTTCTTTTTTAAGTTACTTTCATTTTAAGTTCATCGGTAAACATGCAAGATGTGCAAGTTTGTTACATAGGTAAACTTGTGCCATGATGGTTTGCTGCAGCTATTAACCCATCACCTAGATATTAAGCCTTGAATGCATTAGCTATTTATCCTAATGCTCTCCCTCCTCTGGCAACACTCCCTACAGGCTCCAGTGTATGTTGTTCCCCTCCCTGTGTCCATGTGTTCTCATTTTCAGCTCCCACTATGAGTAAGGACATGCAGTGTTTGGTTTTCTGTTCCTGTGTTAGTTTGCTAAGGATGATGGCTTTCAGCTATATCTGTGTCCCTCTAAAGAACATGATCTTGTTCCTTTTTATGGCTGTATAGTATTTCATGGTGTATATATACCACAATTTCTTTATCCAGTCTATCATTGATGGGCATTTGGGTGTATTCCATGTCTTTGCTATTGCAAATAGTGCTGCAGTAAACATATATGCGCATGTAACTTTATAATAGAATGATTTATATTCCTTTGGGTATAGAGCCAGTAATGGGATTGCTGGGTCAAATGGTATTTCTGGTTCTAGATCCTTGAGGAATCACCACACTATCTTCCACAATGGTTGAACTAACTTACATTGCCGCCAACAGTGTAAAAGCATTCCTATTTCTCCACAGCCTTGCCAACACCTGTTGTTTCTTGACTTTTTAATAATTGCCATTCTGACTGGCGTGAAATGGTTGATGAACATTTGGGTTGTTTCAGTTTTAAGCTATTACAACTATAGCTATTATGAACTTTCATGTAGAAGTCTCAACTTTCATTTATCTTAGGCAAATACCTGGGAGTGGCATAATTATGTTACACTAGTAGGTACATGTAAGTTTTTAAGAAACTGACAAACTTTTCTAAGATATTTATACCATTTTGCAATCCCAACAATTGTGTATGAGAGTTTCAGTTGCCCTGCATTCTGGTCAATAAGGTATGGTCAAGGTTTTTAATTTTAGCCATTCTAGTGGATGTGTAGTAACATCTCATTGTGGTTTTTAATTTGGATTTTCCTAATAAATAAAGATGTTGAGCATCTTTTTATGTGCTTATTTGCCATCTGTATTTTCCTCTTTTTTGGTTAGGTTGTTCTTATTCGATTGCAAGAATTCTTTTTTTTTTTTTTTTTTTTTTTGAGACAGAGTTTTACTCTGTCGCCCAGGCTGGAGTCCAGTAGTGCGATCTCACCTGACTGCAGTCTCCACCTCCCGGGTTCAAGCGATTCTCCTGCCTCAGCCTCCCAAGTAGGAGTAGCTGGGATTACACTGCAATCTCTGCCTCCCAGGTTCAAGCAATTCTCTTGCCTCAGCATCTTGAGTAGGAGTAGCTGGGATTACAAGTGCCCGCTACCACACCTGCTAATTTTTATATTTTTAGTAGAGACAGGGTTTCATCATGTTGGCCAGGCTGGTCTCAAACTCCTGACCTCAAGTGATCTGCACACCTTGGCCTCCCAAAGTTCTGGGATTATAGGCATGAGACACTGCCCAACCAATAATTCTTTATATATTCTAGAATCAAGTTCTTCGATACCTGTTTTGCAAATATTTTCTCCAAATATATGACTGACTTTTTCATTTTTATGTCTTTTGAAAAGAGAAATTTTCATGAAGTCCAATTTATTGATTTTTTCATTTATAATTTATGCTTTGTGTATATTGTTTAAAACTCTTTGCCAAACCAAAGATCATTAAGATTTTCTCTTATTTTTTTTTCTATAAGTTTTTGTAGCTTTAGCCCTGACACTTAAGCCCATGATCCATTTCAACTTAAATTTTGTATATATTTTGAGATATAAGGGTCAAGCTTCATTTTCCATGAATTAATCCTTGAATCACTTCTGTGTCTACTCTCTTATGAACTTACCTAGTCATGTGGCTTTAAATATCATCTGTATATTAAGTACTCCCAAATTACAACTCTAGCCCAAACTGCTATTTTAAGAGGTGTCTCAAACATGTCCAAAACTAAGCTGTTAATATCTATCGTTTCCCTTCTTCCATGCCTGTCCCTCTCACAGTCTTTGCCATTTCTGTAAATGCAACTTCATTCTTTCAGTTGCCTGGGCAAAACTCTTGGCACATCTTTGAGTGTTCTCTGTTTCTGTCATTTCCCATCTTGATCTGTTGTCAAATTCCGTTGGCTTCATCTTCACATTATATTCAGAATCCCACCTCTTCTCACTGTCTCCTCTTTTACCACTGTAGTCCAAGCCATAATTATCTCACCCAGTTTATTGCTGTAATATTCTAATAGGTCTCTCTATACTTCTACCTTTGCATATTTATTAAATTAAGTCAAATATTGTCATTTTTCAGCTCATAACCTACCAGTGGCTTTTCATCTCACTCAGAGAAGGAGCCAGATCGTTATAATGATACCTAAGGGCCTGCACCATCTAGCCACCCATTACCTACCTTACCACATTACCAGGCCCTTACTGACTCTGTTACAGTCATACAGGCCTTGTTGGTGCTTCTCAAATATACCAAGCACACTGCCTACCTCAGGCCATTTGAACTTGCTATTTCCTCTGTCTGGAACGTTTTTCTTCCAGATAACTTTATTCTCTCACTTCCTTAAATCTGTATTCAGCTGTTACCTCAGTGAGCCCTTCCTATTTAAATTACTACTGCGTCACCTGTACATACATCTCACATTCCTCATTGCTGCTTTAGTTTTCTCTGTAACGTGTATCACCATCTAACAAATTATATATGTTAAATGTTTCTGTCTTCCCTCAATAGAACATAAACTTCTTTTGAGAAGAAGTGTTTGCCTGTTTTGTAAATTGTTTGCATTCCCAACGCCTAGAGTAGTGCCTGACACATAACAGACCCTCTGTAATATTTAATATGTGAGTGGAGGCAATTAACATTTTAGGTGGTTTTTTCACCACCTCTGAATATAAAATGGGATGTCTGTAGTTTATTAGAACTTTGTGAACAATGCAAGTCTTCAACAAAGTTGATATAAATGGACGTTGGCTCTCATAATCTTTTCCCCTTTTTAATAAAAGAGTGTTTAACATACAGACAAAATATAAAGTAACAAAAATAGCAAAAAAAAGTCAGCCATGTTGCCACCACCCAAGTTAAGAAACAAAACATTATTAATAATTTTGAAGCATACTTTGTGCTTTTTCTTTGCTTTATCCTCTCTACTCTGCTCCCTCTATAACCCTATTCTGAATTTATTTATTGTTCCTGTTGGTTTTCTTTATAGTTTTGCACATATGAATATATTCAGTTATGTATGTTTTTGAACACCTATCACGGATGTTTTGCAAACTGTTTTGCTTGACCTGATACTCAACATTTTACAGTTGTAAGTCAGACCTCAGATGGCTGGGCGCAGTGACTCACGCCTGTAATCCCAGCACTTTGGGAGGCCAAGGCAGGCGGATCACCTCAGGTCAGGAGTTCAAGACCAGCCTGGTCAACATGGTGAAACCCCGTCTCTACTAAAAATACAAAAATTAGCCAGGCATGTTGGTGCATGTTTGTAATCCCAGCTACTCTGGAGGCTGAGACATGAGTTTCATCCATGTTGATGCATGTAGCTGCAGTTCACTTATGTTTACTCCTATATAGTATCCCCATTGCATTGAGAAACCACTCTATCTGTTCTGTATATACAATTTTGTGATGGTTTTCTTGCTTTTTTAATGCTAAAAACAGTGCTGCCATGAACATGAATATACATGTTTCATGAAACACACATGCAAGTTTTTCTAGGGCAGATTCTTAGGTGTAAAATTACTATTGCATAGGGTATTTGTATCTTTCATTTCACTAGTTAATGCCAGATTGTTTTCAAAAACAGTTGTATATATTTATACACCCGTCAATGGTGTATATGAGTTGTTATTTCGTTTTTCTAATGTGGAGGGTATAAAGTGGTGTTCCATGTTAGTTTTAATTTGCATTTTCCTATTTCCTAATGAGGCTGGATATCTTCTCAGATGTAATTGGCCAAAAATTAGCCAGGCATGTTGGTGCACGTTTGTAATCCCAGCTACTCGGGAGGCTGAGACATGAGAATCTCTTGAACCCTGGAGGCAGACGTTGCAGTGAGCCACGATTCCGCCATTGCACAACAGCCTGGGCGACAGAGCAAGACTCTGTCTCAAAAAACAAAACAAAACAAAAGAAAAACAACCTTAGGAAACAATTTGTAAATTTTTTTGATGCATTATCTCTTTAAGAAAGACTTACAGAGATAGTATGACTTGGTTAAAATATACTCTTCATATCAGCAGAAGCAATAGGCAGTTGAAAATAATTGAGAGTCATCTGAGCTTTAAGTAAATTGATTTTCTGGGCAACACTTGCTACTTGCTTGATTCTTTACAAAGAAAGTCACTATCCAAAAGTATCCAGGCTACTTGGCTTACATAAAGCTTAGACTTAATGATGTCCATGTTTACTATTCATACATTGTATAGTAATTATGTATAATTTTTCCTTTTTGATATCTCACATGATTTTGAATATACTTAGTTTGATGAGGATTTAATGATATTTTTAATTAATCTTCTCAATGTTTGAAAATGGTTAACAGGGTATATATTTTGGCATCTTAAAACTGACCTATTCTCTTTAGGGTAATTAAAAAGTCAGTGTACACTTGGTATGTGTGAAATACTTGGTCATTATTAAACCAGCTTTTCTTCAAGAGAGATATACTCTTTAATTAAGGAATGTAATAAATCACCCTCTATTTTATTGTTATTGGTGTTAATGCTTGGTCTTGTAATTCTGCCCTGTCCACAGGTTAAAGTATTGCACAATCAGCTGGTCCTTTTCCACAATGCCATTGCCGCTTACTTTGCTGGGAATCAGAAGCAGCTTGAACAGACACTTAAACAGTTCCATATCAAATTGAAAACCCCTGGAGTGGATGCCCCATCTTGGCTTGAAGAACAGTAAAATCACACCAGAAAATAAAAAGAAAGTCGCATTGTTATATTTCTAAACAAACTTAACAAGAATTAAGCAGAGTTGGGGGAAGTGGGAGGGGTGACAGCCATTGTAGTGGTCTTGCACAAACAGCTTTAATTTTTCCCTTTTTCATACTTTAACAATTGAACTGTTAAATTTGATGGGAAGGTGGGTGGTTTTAATGTAGACATAGTTTCTATAATCTGAACACAATAATTTTCCTTTTTGAGAAATCCTTTTGTATTGTGAGGGTTGATGGCTATTTCTGTAGTTTGAAAACATCTAATATAGATTTGCACTGACAAGATAAAAATTCAAGGTTTTTGGTCCTGGAAATGAGGGCCAATTGTAACTTTTCCAAAGGGAGGTTTACATGATTTGTATCAACATCAGATATTTTATATATGAATATATTAAACATCTTTAAGAGATTCATTTTCATGTATTAAAGAAAAAAGAAACTATTTTGCAGAGTAAAGTTATATGGTGTTCCTGCAGCGTCCACATAGAGGCAGCAGCTCTATTGAATGACTGATTAGCTTGTGGAGTTGTGGCAAATATCTTTTTAAAAATGAATCTGTACCATTGTAATTTTGTTTAGACTATTTTTAAAGACACAGAAATGACACTGTCATTTCTGTGAGACTTTTAAGCTTCTGAATTTCTTCACCCAAAGTCATTGGACAGTTGCATTTGCAGTTTCTTGTGGTTCATAACGAAACCTGCTTAAGGGAATTTTTTTTTTTTCTGACAGGTGGATGTGGGAATGGAAATTCTTCGTGGTTTCTCAAGTAGAAATCTGTACTTAGAAAACTAGTTTTTGGGTTGGTTCCATTTTGATAGAAGTGAATATGTAGACAGCTCTTATTGACTTCCATATGTAACAATACCGTTTAAGCCTTAAATCACAGATAACGTGCCTTCTCAGATACAGTAATTCTTGTTCAACCAATGTAGAAAATCCATAAAGAAGCCCCTGTTGGATAATGTTTGATGTGTCTATTCCTTCCATGGAAAGGAGCACTATGTATAAATGTTGGGTTTCTTTGTACTCATTAAGCCACATTTGAGGTTTATGGTAAAAATCAACTTTTGAGTTTGCTCTTTGGTTTTTCTTCATTCCTTTTGAGGAATGGGAAAACGGAAGGATTCTTTGATTTGGGTAATGAAGAGGTAATTTGGGACAGTGTGGTCGTAGCAGAAAGAAAGGATTGGAAAGGCCAGTACTGTTTTAGTTGCTCCGTACTATTGGTTTTGTGTTAATGTGGTTGCCCTGTCCACTACATGGTTCTATCAGCAACGTAATCCATTTTCAATGTAAAGCTCTTTTCATTTTTGTCATAGACATAAATTAATATTTTGAGAGGTATCCCTCACCTGTTCATTTCTTCTGTGTTAAAATGAAGTACTTAAAATTACTGTTATACATGAACTTTGTGGACTGTAAGATTTGTTATATATGTTCAAATGCCTTTTAGCTGGCTTTTTAATTAATATGCCTGTTTTGAGTGCTTAATACAATGTAATGTGATTGTAAATCATAAACCTATTTTAAATCATTCCTTCCTGTATATTTTTACTCAGAGAGCCTTATTTTATTCTTCCAGCAGAATTACTACTTGTGATAGTTCATTTACATTCCCCAGAATGTGCCTCTGGTGTGAATTTTGTATTCTTATTAAAAGTGTTTGCTGCAGTAAATTTTTTCTCTGACCCTTCATAGTTTAAGAAGTATATATTTGGAAATTCTGAAGACACACGATTTGTCTTTTCTGAACTTTAAAATAAATGGTGCTTCTGTCACTTATAATTGTTTTAGCTCAGTAAGCTATGTTTTTTTCTCAATGTGAATCTCTTGAGAGCTGAACATGTCCAGTCTTAACGACATTTCAATAACAGTTACGTTACCTAAGGAGCTAAACAGTTTCATGGATTGATTTTTTTTTTTTTTTCAGAATAAATTTAAAATATCAGTGATTCTGATAGTGGGTACATGAGCAAAAGAAAAAGTAAATTAATATATTTAGCCAGCAATACATTTACTTTGTTAGGAATGTAATTTATGTTCATTATAGAAAAGAATTAGAAGAAAATTTCAAGTCATAGAAGATAATAAGTACCTTCCCAAGTGAGTACTTGGAGCCACCCAACACCTCTGAAGTTGGATATTTTAGTTTTGGATTTTTATATTACAAGATCTATTTTGAATATCCTTTAATATAACATACATTTACATCTTTGCGCTCCTACCTACTTATTCCCTTAGGTTATATTTCTAGAAGTGAAAATGGGCTCTCAAAATTATATACACACTTTTAAGACTTTGCAATATATTGCCTGTTTGCTTTCAAGAAAGACTGTGCCAGTTTACACCTGTAAGAGCATACACATGTGCCTGTTTAATATATTTTTTAAGCTAGTACTATTATACATTAAATTAAAGGGAAAAAAGGAAGATAAAACCTGAACAATCACAAACTGGAGAGTTTGGGGATATAGGTTGTGGGAGCAGGGGATGGATGGAAATGGCTGGCTTGTTGCTCATTAAAATAGAAGTTGTTATTCTAGAAAAAAAAAATACACTGAAGAACTGGTCTGCGAAATTAAACTCTTCATCCCAAAGCTTCCAAATCTTAGGGTTCAGGAACTATCTGGGTTTGCAGAAGCAATTTAGCTGAAATCTAAGATTTAAGAAGCATCTTTTCCATATTCAAAACACACTGATAATGTTACTGAAGCTTATGCCATAGAGTGTGAAACTAGAAGGTTCCTTAGAGATTATGTCACACACTTTTTTTTTACAGATGAAACTTTCAAGGCTTCAAAATATGTTAAACTGACTTTGCTAACCCCCATCTCCAAATGTAATGCCAGATGAGTATTTGCAACTATATACTTGAATTCCCCTTTAAATCCTGCGATTTCAACTGCATAATTAAATCAATGTGTCGAAAGTGTCAAGTGTCTTCTCTAGATAAGTTTAATATGTATTAAATGTCTTTCCCGTTGAGGAAAAAAAAAAATCCAACTACCCCCAGATGATTTCATGCTAGGTACATTGCAAAGTATGCAAGATGCCTTCCTTTCTATCCACTGACCTTTAACTTGCAATATTCTGCAAAAGAAATCAGGTGAGCTTGAAAAGTGTTATATAAAGTAAACATATATATTGAAAACACTACAGTTAAATTTCTTCTAATCATGGAACTGTTAATTGAAAGAATAAGTACCTCAAAATGTGTCCATTCTCCTTTAGTTTGCACTGGAGATGACTAGTTTTGAAAAATAAATTATCTGAGTTGCTAGTTCAGTGCAACATTCAAGTATAATTTATGCTAATTTCATGAAATACCACTTAAATACTTATATTTGCAATAGTCCTAAAAATCCTTTGTCAGTACCTCTTTTTTTTTCCTTTCTTTTTTTAACCTTTCAGTTGTCTGGGAGAATTGAAGCTACCTGAAATCTTTGATCACTCAATTCTAACCAAATTTAGGCATTTAAAAAAATCTAATTCCCCCCCTTTAAGAGTACAAATTTTCACATTAGCTAAAACTATCCAGTTTTGAGTAGGCTATTTTTGATTAGAAGACCAGTTATATTTTGCATTATTTCAAAGATTTCCCAAGATCACAGTTCCTTTACTATTTTTACAGTATAGCAGGACCTATTAAAATAGGACAATGCGAACAATTTTTTTGAAGACTTTCATTAAATTCAGTTCTATGTTTCCACTTGAAGGTTTCCTGTTCAACAGCTTTCCCAGCATAAATGGACCTTTATAATAAATTGCCAAGTGGTCATCATAATGTACAGGAAACTATGAAGTTCAGCTTTGTTTTCGTGAAATAAAGTTGATTCTTAGTGGTTTATTTATGTTAAGTGAGAACTGCTTGTTAGTCTGGTACTAGCTCTGGTAGGGAAAAAGACTATAAACATGAGGAAATTACGTCCATTCTGAGGACCATAATTCTACTTTTGTGCAGTTAATTGATTAGTGTGCTATCAGAACTGAGCATTCTGGTTTTTTTTAACAAGTGAAGCTTCCGCAGAAAGCAAAACCACAGTTTTGTTTGGGTCCAAGCTAGGCTTTGCCGTAAACTCTGTCAAATATTGTGTGAATTGCTGATTCATAAGGAAGATGTAAGATTTGTTATCTTAAAAATAACTTTCTATGACTTAGCCTTTCATATCACTTTGCCTTTGGTACAAGTATATATGTTCATATAATAACTTAGGGCACAGAAGGGAGAAAACGTAAGCCATATACATCTCACTATATCTTGGAGCTTTGATTATTGATGTTCTACTAAAGAAGAAGCAAACTCTAAAACTTTTTGTTTCAAATGTGAGTAGAACATTATAGAGTAGTGAGAGGAAGATAATCTTGTTGGCCTTCCTGAAAAGTTTTAAAATTATGAAGCCTTAGAATAACGAATAAAGTACTCAAGATAAATTATTTATATATGCTGCTTTACTGTTATTCTCTGCCTAAATGATTTCCGATTCTACATTAGGAAGCTTTTTATAAAAACTGCCTAAAGCCTCAGGCAGATAATTATCCTTTCCTTTGAGGAATATATACTTATTATCTAGATACTCAGCTCTTAAGGGCACAGGGTAGACTGTCTTACTCACCCTATATCCCCAACTCCTTGCATAGTTTTCTTTTTTAAGACAGAGCCTCACTCTGTTGCTCAGTCCCAGCTAAGTTTTGTGTATCTAGCAGAGATACACAAAAGGGGTTTTGCCATGTTGGCCAGACTAAGTCCCAACCTCAGGTGATCCACCCACCTTGGCTTCCCAAAGTGCTGGGATTTCAGGCATGAGCCACAGCGCCTGGCCTCTTTGCATAGTTCTTAATTCAAAGGAGCAGTGTATAAAAATGTGTTGTTTTTGATCCAAAATTCAAATGCAGAAAAGCATTCAGTGCTTGCACTGCAATTTCGTTTGAATGAGTACAAAAAAAGACGGTACATTTATAACTTATTCTAAATTAATGTTGGGATGTTACCTAAGACATTAGGATGTTTACAGAAGAGTGACCAGTTTTTAAAATGACCATTCTTCTGTAATGTAATTCTTTCTACTACAGAAAGAATGGCAGAATTATAGAGAAGTCACCATGTTGCAACCATGACTAAAATAATTGATTCACACAGGGATGGCCAGTGGATGCTTATATCATTAAGTGAGAGATTAAGGGAAAACAGACTATTTCCATAATACCTAAGTATTACCCTACAAATGATTCCATTTGAAAGGGGAAAACAACCTAAATTGTGATCAAATTTAAAGCCATGTATAATCTAGTAATCATTGCGCCTTGGATATAATGAGATATAAATTATACACTGTCACATATTTCTGCTGGAATTGTTCAATCTGAAGCTAATCAAGTATTTTACCTTAAATTCCGGTGTACAGAAGATACAAGGGGCTAAGGACCAAGTTAAATTATACCAAGAAGAATCAACTGGACAAATCCAGAATCTGAGACATTCTACAACATAATTGGCTTGATCTCTTCAAAAAGTCCACCACAAAAGATATTAGTAATACTGTTAGAAAACAAAGATTTGAGATGATAATTCAAAAGAATAGCTATATAAGACATTTGGAAAAAGAACTGAGTTACCTGAGTGTATATTTCATGCTGCTAGGAACTTATGTTTAATTTTTTTAGTTATGATTATATTGTGGTAATGTAGGGGAACAGCTTTACTAGGAACGCATGCCCAAACTACTTAAAGCCAAAGTAGCATGATGTCTTCAGTTTACTTTTAAATGGCTCAGCAAACATACATGCATTCATATGTATTCACATATATGGTGAGAAAGCTAGAAGAGAAAAAGAGAAGATGTCAGAGTAATATGGCAAAATGTTAACAATTGTTGAAATAAGTAGGTGGATACGTGGGGTTCCATAGTACTAGTCTTTTATATTTTCTTTTTAAAAATGTTTTTCATAATGACATTTAAAAAAAAAAAAAAGGATGTTTGGTCCAGAAAGTCATTAAGACTCACTAAAGCATTCCTCTTGCACCGGGTTGCAGTCAGAGGCTGTTTTTGGTATAGACAATGACACCACTTGCTCCACTGCTACAGATACTAGAATTTCTCCTCTAGCATGGGAGATAAATTGATTTGTATCTGGAAACAGAAATTCAAGTAAGTATAAAGTTGAGCAGTTTGTCAGTAAAGAGTACAGAAACAGGATAAGCAAAGAGGCAGAAATAGTTTAGGATATGACTATATAAAAAGATTTCATGCAGAAAAACAAGCATTCACCAAACTAGATCTTTTTCTCTTGTTTTTCTCCTCACCTCACTTCCAAATTGAAGCTTTTCAAAAAAAAAAGTACTATATTTACTACAGGCACATGCCATCATGCCCAACTAGTTTTTGTATTTTTTGTAGAGATGGGTTTTGCCATGTTGCCCAGGCTGGTCTCAAATTCCGGGGCTCAAGCGATCCTCTTGCTTCAGCCTCCCACAGTGCTGGATTACAGGTATGAGCCCCTGCTTCTCGCCCCAAATTGATGCTTTCTAAATAGCTATTTGAAAGTACTAGGGAAGTAAAGTTCAAAAACAAAACACTAACTTTCTTTTAGCCCAATAAGGCTGGTTGGTTTTGTCTCCATTTTTTTGCCCTCTTCTTGTAAATAAGCATATTACTACTATTCAGTACTAGTATAATTT